TGTGTTTTGCACCGCACAAAAGACGCTCATATTTCCAATACTAATTTCTCGTCAATCGTTGGCGCAAGAAAAGTGGATTAAAAATAAAATTTAATAATAAAAATTCTTTCGTCTTTCTCCTTAATAATTACATAAAGATCTTGACGATAAAACTTTACGATAAAGGCTGGGAACATTTTTCAACCAATATGCTCACTTTTTAGCGAATCTTTGCAGGTAACTTTGCAGGTAAAATGTCATGTTAGGCCATATCCCACGGCGTAAGTTTCTCTGGAAGATCATCATACTAGGCCCTGTTGAAGGCTGAATCAAGCGGGGACGGCAACGCAAAAGCTAGTCAGATATCATCAAAGAATATACGGACATAACAATGCCGGAACTCCTGAAAGCCACCGCCAACAGATGATACTGCACGAGGTTGCTTGATTTTTCACCCTTTAGGTCCCCTCCTCCGCCGATTGATGATGATGAACGTTCATCTTGTCTTTGCCTCAATAAGCACATGATGTTTCCCTGTTCATTTTCATATATGTATGTATGCATGTTTGTATGTATGAATCTAGATTTCCTATAAGGATTTATTTTACAGACCAAAACTTCAGTTTTGAAATCTTACAGACAAACAAGAAAATCTCTTTGAATTAAAAAAAAAAAAAATGGAGATTTTAAATCCGTGCAAGATGTCTTTTGATAAGAATTTCAATCCAAGCAAGGCGGGTGTGGCACTAGTTCGCAAGGTCTTACGGAGAGCGAAAATTAGACAGTGACTGGGTCTAGGGGTGATTGAGAAAATGATAAGAAGAAGAACGGGGATTAAGGCAACACAAGATGTCTATTGACATTACACTTAAAACTTTTGAAGTTCTCAGGGAGGCAAGTATGAGGAAGGTCGTTCCACTGTTAGGAAGTGCGGGAGAAGAAGCTGTTGACGTAGAAGAGGCGGTTACATTTAACTTTCGATAGTAAAAGAGTGGGATCGAGATGCCAACATAGTAGAATGCTTAAATTCATTCAGCTGGAGCAAAAGTGAAAATAGCTCGTAAGAGCAGATGTGATAACAGATATTTATAGAAAGGACAGATGGAAGCTATATCACGTTTTAAGAAAGTGACTGGTGTCGAGAACCCAAGTCAGGACCAATCACATTGCATATCCGTTCTTTGGATTCTTTCAAGAACCCCGAAATGAACAGGGTGGGGTACGGATACATGACAACAGTATTCTATGCATGGAAGAATGGTAGTTTGTATTTTTTGAAGAATAGACTCAGACAAATAAAAAAAAACCCTTCCGGTGTGACACAGAGAACCAACTTTACTTGTGGTAGATGTAGTTAATGATTCAATGGAGTTGCTCCACCTCAGGTCAGTGGAAAACATGAAACCAAAAAGGCTCACTGAAGTGCTCTCGTGAAGTTGGGCATCGACCATGCTGATAGGAGGCAGGAAAATTCATCTATGGTGAGTAAGTGATAGCAATTTCCTTTTGGATGCATTAAAATTTACAAGCCATTTCCTGCTCCAGTCAAACAGATATTGGAAGTCATTTTCCAAATCAACGGCAAGGTTAACTTTGTCAGCAATGCCGGATTTACTATTGAGACAAGAGTAATTGGTAATGACGCTGCACAGATGCCTGCTTGAGAACTGATGACGAAAGAAACTTCATTAATGAAGACCAGAAACAGTGTAGGACCAAGGATAGAGCCATGGGGAAACTCCAGCATTCGTATGAAAGGAACTGAAAGAGAACCCATTACGAGCAATCTTCAGTTCCCGGTTCGACAGGAATGATTGGATTAAATCAAGGTATGAGCAAGTTTTAAAATATTTATATATACAGTCTTCTTCTTCTTCTTCTTCTTCTTCTTCTTCTTCCTCCTCCTCCTCCTTCTTCTTCTTCTTCTTCTTCTTCTTCTTCTTCTTCTTCTTCTTCTATGTGTTATGTCACTTCAAAACGTTAGTGATCATAGTTCTTCTTCTTCTTCTTCTTCTTCCTTCCTTCCTCCTCCTCCTCCTCCTTCTTCTTCTTCTTCTTCTTCTATGTGTTATGTCACTTCAAAACGTTAGTGATCATGGTTCTTCTTCTTCTTCTTCTTCTTCTTCTTCCTCCTCCTCCTCCTCCTCCTTCTTCTTCTTCTTCTTCTATATGTTGTGTCACTTCAAAACGTTAGTGATCATGGTTCTTCTTCTTCTTCTTCTTCTTCTTCATCTTCTTCTTCTTCTTTTATGTGTTGTGTCACTTCAAAACGTTAGTGATCATGGTTTTTCACAGTTTCCTGTCCTCTGTAGCTCTTAGTAAATTTTGTCATTTTGCTATATTTCCTAAACCATTTTCTGCCAAACACTTACACAAGCTTATTAGATAAGTTATACGGTGTTTACACTGTCCTACTTGCTTTCAATATATTCTGTGAATTTCAGAATTTCTAACGCTATTTTCCTCATAAGAGAATGCCCTAGAAATTTCAACTTCCGCTTAATGATGCTAAGTATAAATGTTCATTTTGTTTCCATTTTCTGTAAAACTGCATCGTTGCTCACATGTTCAGTCCATGGTATCCCTCAGCAGCCTTTTGTAGAACAACATTTCACGTCTTTTCTTCATCTGTAAGGAGACTGTACAGCATTCACTGCCATACAGAAGGATTAATATGTTGACCATGTTTGCCGTAGTCTCGGAATATGGAATCCAGTGAAGTCCGTAATCTCTTCAATATCAGAGGTTGGCAGTGTAGATTCGGAGAAAGTAGCAGCTATTAATTCTTTAAGTCTTCGATACCAGGTTGGCAGTGAAGATAATTTGGGAGGAAAAACAAAATGGCTGCCTTTATACACGTCGGATTGAATATTTTGAGCTTTCTGATTGGTTAACCCTTCTCTTGGTGGACTATAAATGAGTCAGCTCATTTTGGCTAGCTCACTAGTACATAGATATATCGAGAAAACTGTAACATAATATGACATACCGGTATTTTGACTTAACAGTATTCTTTTCTATGTCTTTAATGAAATTTCCAGCTTGACTTTTCCAGAGCATCTTTCGTTATCCTTGTTTATAAATGTAACGAAACTGTTAGCGGCTCAACGCGTGTTATGAATAATGAAGAGTAGCCTCCTCTTGTTTTGTTACTCTCCTCTTTGAGAGATATATTTCTCTTTACTGGGACTATAAAAGGACACTATACAAGAACCTTATATTCTTAAAGCCTCTACCTGCGCACTTTTTTAATTACAACGCCATCATCCTCAGATTGTTAATGGACGCCTTCAACATGATATGTGATTAAAAGCACAAAGGAAATTTCGGTCAATCTCAAATCGAGTGTAACCGATATACAGACCAGATGTATAGACCAGATTTATAATTCGTAGAACATTGAACCGACAAGGCTTTCAATATGAATACTGAAGAAAATAAATAATAAAAAAAAAAATTAGTGCACTCATTACAAGGCCAAAGAGCCTATTAAGGTAGAAGTGTACAGAATTGTTGTAAGGAAGGGAGAATCAGGTTGTAAAAAGTGCATATTAAGAGGATACGTAGCGTAGGTATCAGTTAAATTGTAACAAAGAGGTTAAGATTGTAATGATCAGGAAAACATTCTTTCGGGAGACTTTTTAACAAAGTAACAGTCTTGAGAAAGAAGCTGTCTGATTGGAACTTACACATTACCAAATGGACACGAAGTGAATCGCGATGATTTTCCACCGGAAAAATAGCTTGCCGGGTCGTATTTGTGAAGGTCTCCGCTGTTGGGACATAAGAATCTATCTAGTTTGAAGATTTGCTATAGTAATAGTGATTGAACAATGAGGTGATAGGAAGGCTGAGTAATCCTGTTTAAACTCTGTATTGGCCGAACAGTGAGGATAATGCGTCATCAGCTCAGATGTAGCAACGATACAAAATTCGTAGTCTGATCTGAAAAAAGATGGAGCCAAGAAGCAAGAGTTACTTTCTTGGATGATTCAAGGAAGCGACAATTCTTCCAGCGTCTTCTACACGAATACAAGTTTTTCATCTTAATTTAATTAACAAATTACTGTAGGAAGGATTTGATATAAAAATAATATATTTTTTTCTTTGCGTTTTCGCCCTGCTTGGACCAGTCCAGTACAAAGATACCTGGCGACGATTCGATCTTGGCCGCCTTATGATCAAAGCAAATCACAACGTGGGATAAGGCAGGACTTGGATTGAAGCGATCACTTTATCGATCAGCCGCGGTATTGGACGTCTTGGTCGATCATGGAGGGTGTAAGGCAACAGTTTAATCTTTGCTAAACAGGTTCCTAATCTGTTAAGTATTTACTCTCATCGGTTATTCGGTCCGACAAATCAAAAATTGAGTATTTAGGACATAACATGGGAAGTCATTTTTCGGGTAAAAGAACAAAGCGGTAATTGAAAAGAAAATACAAAAATATAAAAGACCCGGATATAAGAGAAACCAAGATATAAGAGAGATTTTCTCTGGTCCCAAAGTGTTCCCATACTTACCTAAACAAAATAAACCAAACCCGGATATAAGAGAAACCCGGATATAAGTGACTTCTTCTCCGGTCCCGACAACTCTCTTATATACGGGTTACACTGTAGTATCCAAATAGTGAAACATGATGTTGGAAATATCGGCTTACAGGACGGGGGTGGGGGGCTTCAGCGAGATATAGGTTAAGATCGAGGAGTAAATTGCAGAAATATCTGCCCAGCCTTAAAAAAAAAATTAACCTCTCCAGACTAAGATTTGGTAGGCGATTCCTCTTCATATAACGACCAAAGTATTCTTCGAAAATCGGCGTAGAATAGTTTAAAACCCATAATCTGCAGGCATCAAGTTAAACTAATGCCTTCGTTGTTTAATATATTCTGACCATTTTAAGGTAAGTTAGTATTTTCTAGGATTTAATTGTTAAACTTTTTAAGATTAAGTTTAGATATACTGAAAAATCTATAGCTTCTTTTAAATATCTCTTCCTCTTCTTTTTCTTCTTGGC